CGAAGATTATTATGCATTTGGCTTTATACACGCATTCATTGACCCTCCGTTTTGGGGTGTTTTTCAATATTCTGTGGATTGGGTTTCAAACTACAGTATGTGGTTAAAATAAAACAACTACATTTCAATTGGAAAAAAAAGTAAAATATAATATACTATGTTTGTATATATATGTATATATATAACACACACACACACATATATATATATATATATATATATAAACACACACACCACACACACCGGCTTCTTTATTAGGTACCCCTACAAACTGTAATCCGAGCCATTCAAAAAGCAAAGCAAAGCCTTACCAAAGACAATTTAGTGTCATTAAAATGACCACTAACATTATTTTGTTTATAAAGGCAATATTGTTGATAAAGAATCACGTTGTTTGGATGCTGGTCTACCCCCCCCCCTTTCTGCACTGAATATGTCGTTGTCACCTTGCATGATAATGCAAATTAAAACAAATGCGCGCACACGCACAGACACACTCACTCTCTCTCTCACACACACACACACACACACACACACACACACACACAGGCACACACACACACACACACACACACACACACACACACACACACACACACACACACACACACACGTTGCTCTCCAAGGTTGATCAAAGGGGCAAATGAGTTCCACTCACAACTTCACAATTTAAAACATTAGTGAGAGAAAATAAAAATAAAAAACTAATTGGCCATGAATACAACTAAATTAGCAGTTTTTTTAACAAGGCAGAATTGTGCAAGCAGCCACTATTGAACAGTGTGTACCTAATGTCGTTTTCAATGAGTGGATTCTTTACGTATAATTATGCCCCCCTCCCCCCACCCAAAACAAAAACACGTGCAGAGTTACACTAACTACTGTGCGAGGTTGATCGGACCCGCGCAAATGGCGCTCCGCTGAGAGTCGCGCTCACACTTCATTTACTAGTCCTGAAAATGTACCACAATTAAAACAAAACAAACACGCCGTTGAACACTGAACACATCCATAAAAGAGAATATGGAATAAAACATCAAAGTAGTGCCAGTCATCCATCCAGCGCGCCAGGAGCGAGGGCGCAGCGCGGCCGGCCACCGAGCCAGCGTCCCGGGGCCCGAAACTCTCCGGGTACCCTTGACCGCTCTCCTCCTCGGCTCCACCGGGGAGAGAGAGCCGCTTGGCCGGCCTCTTTATATACAACGCCCGGGCGGATCTGCCTCCTCCTTTTAATTGATTTTCCCATAATTAACTCAGTGTGTCCATCGATTTCCCCTCCACGGCATCGCCTCAACGTGGACGCTGTGTTATTGTGGACACCAGCGGCTCGACGGCGACAACCGGGAGGCAATATCGACCACGCATGCTGCACTCATCGCGCGAGAAGAGGATGCGCGGCGTGCAAAATCGCGTACCTGCACTATCACGTGTCAGGTATGAGAGGCTTGGGTGGTGTGTGTGTGTGTGGGGGGGGGGTTACACAGGTACACGCGTGACATCGGTCCGCGCATATTCCAAGTGGGGTTTCCAATCAATATGAAACACACACACACACACACACACACACACACACACACACACACACATACACACGAACACTCACACACAAAACGTGCGTGCGCGCTCCCCACGAGTCCCGCGTGGAAGTTGGCAACAGAACGTAGGTGGTACAAAAAAATGTAAAAGTAGGCACCCCAACCCCCCCACACTTTTGCCACTTTTGAAAGAATCATAATAATCATCAAGAACATTACCAGTGCTTCCATCGGCGAACGTCTCCATCCACGCGACGCGAGCCACCTTGTCTGGACAACAGTGGGGATGGAGGGGATGATGGGGTACATGGGGAGGCAGCAGAGGTGGCGGGTGGGTGGAGTGGAGGGGGTCCTTGATGCGGCTGGGATAGGGGGCTCAGCAATAAAGCGAGGGGGCGTAGGAGAGGGGGGCAAGTGGTAACTCCCCATCCTTTTATAAGCCCCCCCACCGCCCTCCCTCCCTCGTCTTCTTCCATTCTTTCCCCATCCCTCATCCTCAACGTGGAGCTCGCTCAGCGGTTGCCATAGCGACCCGGTGGCTGTGATGCTGAGGAGAAAGAAGAGTGAGAGGGAAGGTGAGATGGAATTTTTTTTTGGGGGGGAGGGGGGTGGCTGCGCGTAAGAAAAATTCTTAAACTTTGCTCTTCGATGTGTTTGTGACGTCACATACCCACCGTGCATCTTGCTTCCCGCCACGTGAGCGTTTGTTTTGAATAACAGGGCCCTCCATTTGGCGCCAGTCGAGCACTCGCCTCATTGGCGCCCCCTGTAGCAGACAGTTGGAATTACACAGGATAAAGGAAAAGGGAAAGACGAAAGAGAGAGAGAGAGAGAGAGAGAGAGAGAGAGAGAGAGAGAGAGAGAGAGAGAGAGGACAAAATTTACTTTTTGTGTGGCTGTGAACAGTTGCGCTTGGAAAAGTTCATTTTGTTGTGAAAAATGTTGAATGTCATTTTTAAGAAAACAGAGAAATAATTATGTGTTTGTAATGATTACATGTAAGCAAAATGGACTCTGGTACTAAGCAACTTCAGATTTTTTTTTTTTTTTTAAATCAGCGCATGAATGTCAAACGCGTATAATATAAATTTGTGAATTCAAATTGTGCCCAACTATCTAAATCAGGCGAGTTTTTCATCAGTGTGAATGGCGGGGGATGTCTTGCAAAAAAACTGGTGTGCAAGAAACCAACATTAAGTTCAGGAAACCATTTTGTAACCCCCCAAATAAAATCATCTCACTCAAAATTGTAATATCATTGAGGTAGGCTTTGGTTTGTCCTGTATATCATTCCAAACCAGCCCCAAAAAATATTAGGCCGACTTACACTTTAGTATAAGGAAGTATAAGACCCAGTGCATCTAGGACACATTTGCCATCTGGTGCTGAAGGGTGATATTACAACATAACACTGCAGCTGACCATTGCATAGTCGCAATTTGACACCCGCACATTCTAAGATTAAAAAAATGCTATCAGTAAAGTATTTGCCAGCATCGGATCCCCCCCGAGGTGTTTCATTTTCTTGCCAAAATCTTCTCAAAGGTTATATTTTTGCAAAATGGCAAGCACCCTCAGGGAGGTTGAATAATTAAGTCATTCTCGGCTGACGTATGGCACACTGTTACATGAAATTACGGCTGTGGAAGATGACATTTTCCAATGCAGCGGGTCAATAAGCAGCAGCGGCGAGAAGCACCATACCCCGCAGGTTAGACAAACAATAACGCCGGTCCCCATGGGTCGATAGTGTCTATCAGCTTTAGATGACACGTTTCAATAGCGTGCTGATATGGGCGCCCGAGACGGTTGGCGTCTCCATCCAATCAAGAAGGTGAGAGGAACACCTGCGGACGGCGGAATAAAGTGGAAGGCCGGCCGCTGCTCGGCCTTGCGCCGGGCCACGTGGCATTAGCTTCTAGTTGCGCCATGCAATTTGCACACACCAGAACACCTCTGATGGTGTTTTAGGCCAATAACGGTGAGTGTGTGTACGTAATAGAAATGTTTCACATAATTCACTCAAGGTTATTCCCTGTGTGATTTGACAAGAGCGCCATAGCAACGGCTCCTCCGACCCCCTGGGGAACCCTTGACCCGGATGGAGATGGGCCAGGCTTCAGGCTTGTCGACTGGCTGTACAGCCAGCCGCTGTATCTCCGCTGGTCTAAACACTATCAGGAGCACTTGCTGACATTTACGATACAAATTAAATTCTAGCCCCCTTTCCGAGTAGGAAAGAGGAGAAGCGGGAGGAAAACAGGCCAAAATCCAGATGTCAGGGCTGAGGTCAAGCAAGAGACTGGCTGTGTACGAGGTGTCAAGTCAAGTTTAGTTGAACAGTCCGTAGGCATCTGTGGCGGCACAGGGTGAAGTCTGACAAGATTTGTTGAAATATCGCATGATTTCAGAGGCGAAGAAAGGGAAATAATCACATAAACGACACTGTAAACACAAAGCCTGGGAAGGTTGAACTTGCGGTATGAGATGCCAAGACTCCTCCAGTTTCTCTGGCAAGCGGTGGCAGCGGCGGTCACCCAAGAGGGAGGCATTCTTCGGAGAAAGGGAACATGACAGAGCATCGGGATCGTGATGTGGACTTCCCAGACAGCGCTTCGCTTTGCAGGAGGTATCACAGCCTTGAAGGAGCAGCGCCGTGCAGCAGCGTGAGGGTTTGCAACCACTACGATGGCCCAAAGGGGGCTTGGGGCACTTTGGCTGGCCATTAAAAGAAAAAAAATACTGTGAGATGCTTTTAAACAGGATATAAATTTGTATTTTCCCATCCCATGAATCAAAACAAAATAAATAACCATTTGATTTCATTCCACTATATGCATGCATATTTTGTTACACACACACACACACGACAAAATAGTGCATTGTAATTTGTGGAGAAATTTCATATTTTGCAACAATATTGCAGCAGTGAGACAAACTTGAAAGTTATTTTTAAGTAGTCGTTGCAGGTATAAACAGTGGAAAAGTGGACTGCGGTATAAATCTTTAACAAACAGTAATTAAACAACAGACCTCAGGGGCACTCCAAGTGCATCCAGTCGAATGTCGATCTCTTCGGGGACGGGCCGGTGAAGAAGCACGGCAATGGTCCCGGTCATTTGAATCATGTGTGTTGCAGCAGGGAGCGATGGAAAACAGGCAGGACAGCGACCCCTGAGGGCAGACTTTGGAAACGTCTGCTCTCGTGGCAGTGCCAAGATTTTCTTTTCTCTTGAGATCTCTCTGCTTGAGCACCAAGGTCGTAGAATATAATTACACCAAATAACATATCTGGCTGAAATGGTGACTATCAAATCTTGAAGTGGATGGGGGGGGGGGGGTCAACCGCTGGCATTGCTGGGATTGCTTACACTGTAGATATTGTAGTAAACTTGCATTTCAAGGCAACACTGTACATACTGTAATGCGTATTTTTAGCAGGAAAAAACCCCGACGCTAAACCGATTAAGGGCAACCACACCTTTATTAATTGTATTAGTATTCACCCATATGATATATTAGCTTCTGAATATAGTTAAACACAATGTGAACTGGCACGCATTTGTTTTTAAACAAAGTTCTCAAGAAATATATTTTCCCTTTAACATAATTACCTTTACAAAAAAATAAACACCCCCGTCCCAAAAAAAAAAAAAGGAACCCCGCCCCAAAAACCTCCTGTCCGGGCCCGCGGAGTCGAGCCCTTCTGCCCAGGCCAGTCTTCTTCTAGTGGTTTTCCACACGAAAGCAGGGGGGCCTTATTGATCGCCGTCTCCAAGTGAAGTCTGGGCATTAGTTCCGGCACGGTGACCAGACAGGGTTCCGTCAAAGACACTCTAGCAGGGATGATCGCACCCCGGGTGTGCGCACTTTGGATTTTGATCTCCCCAACATCACTCGTATTGAGCGACACACTGTCCAGTCTTGTACGCGTATGACTTGCTGAGGGAAGCACTTGAAGCTCACACACACACACACACATCTGAAATTATCATCCCGGCAGCTGTGATGATGACTTGTCCACGGTGTGCTGAAGCCGGAAGCTGACCACTGACCACAGCAATCACACGCCGCAGGGTTATCTTCTTAGGACAATCCGGGACTCGCCTCGCTTATCTTAAGAGAGCGTGTTTGTGTGTCACCAAAGTTAAGACGCAAAGATGACTTTTTTCCTCGCCTCACTTTTCGACTTCAAACATATTACAGCAAGGTGACAACATTTTTATTCCCGAGGAAACCATGTCAAACGTGAAAACGCGAGCACTGGAGCCAAGTGGAGATTGTGTATGATAACGCTAAGGGTGAGCTTCTGTAGCATGTATAAGAAAAAAAAAGGGGGGGGGGGATTTTTCGACACGTGTTTCCAAGTGCAAAATTAGTTATGGTCAGACGGCAAACTTGATCCGCAAGGAAACTGTGGTTAACAGGAAAAAAAAAAAGCTGGGAGTTAAGTGTGACACTGCAATGTTTCAAGTTAAGGTTAAGATGCAACATCTTTTTGCCCACTTATAGTACAGAAATATTGTGGACAGGAGAGAAATTGTATCCAAAATGAGACTGTGGGCAGTCTGAGTATAGTATACTGTTGTGACCGGATTTAAGGGTGATGCTGTCCACAGATGCAAAGACCACGTTGGTCACTTTGGTTTTCGACTTCAAACAGAGTAAACATTTTATCGGGGGAGACTGTGAGCAATAAAATAAAGCGCTGGAGCCAAGTGGGGACGATGGGACTGCGAGACTAGAGCTTCGATAGTTAAGGGAAAGAAGCTCCTTAAGTTATGATGCACAGATCTTTATTTTTCTTCTCCTCGTCTCAGTTTTCCACTTAAATATATATTGCAGCAGGGAAACAAAGTTAACCTCAAAGGAGACTATGGGCAGCACAAAATCAAAGTGCTGAAGCCAAGTGCAAAGGTAGAATACGAAATTGCAGCATCCCTAGTTAAGAATGAGCAGCAACCTTTTTTGACTCATTTTTCCGGTCAGCTTGGTTTTGAAATGTCATCTGCAAGGAGACTGCGGCCGCTCCAGCTAAACGGAGCCTGTGGGCTATAATCCTACAGGATCCAGAGCTATGGTAAGGTTCTCCAAAGTTAAGGCCCAAAGATTTCTTTTCCTTCTACTCGCCTTGGTTTTCCACTCTGAACATTTTGCAGCAGGGAGACCATTTTCAGCCAAGCGGAGACTACGGGCAGGATAAAAACGGAGCGATGTTAACGAGAAGCAAAACATTGATTTCTACGACTTGCCTCGGTTTTAAATTTAAAAAAATGATCACAACTAAAATGAACAAATTTTATCCAAATGGAGACTGGGGGCAACTAGAAAACAGAGCGCTGTGGCAAAGGCTGTTTTTTTCTTTGTCACAGAAAAGTTTGAAACAAAAACGTTAGCTGTCTCACTTATAATTTAGTTTTAACTTTTCCCCTATTGACCGGCATTTGGAATGGACGAGTTTTGAGGCTTTCAAGCAACACACGTGAACGCCCAACTGAATCGGCTTCAGCTCTGACTCGTGTTAAGTGCGGCTTACCACTGTGTGTCCTTTTGTTGGTCCTGATCCGCCTTGTCCTAACATGTCCGCTTTCATTCTGCTGTCTTATAAGGTAGTCGCCTGGATGTGAATTCAAACGGAAATCAGAAGCATTCGTTGTCTCAACTCAAAATCCAAGGGTCAAGGCTTACCGTCAACGAGCTGTGCTTGCTGCCATCTAGTGGCCGCTAGAGGCATTACGCCAAAGAAAAAACACCCTGCCCCTTTCAACAACATGCCGATGTGGTATCATAGCTTAAAGTCCACCTACACCCCTCAGTGATTGTCCTTGTGGGCGGCAGTGGATGACGGCGGCCACGCCAGCACTCAGCAGCCGGCGGCCTTCCTCGTAGTCATCCTGGTCCACGCTGATGAGCAGCCGGACGCCCTCGGAGCCCGCCGCCACCCTCAGCGAGTCGGTGATGAAGACCCCTTTGAGGGCCTCCAGCAGCGCCCCGCTCAGGTAGTCCACCCAGAAGGCTTCCAAGTTGTCCAGCTCCGTGAACTTGATATCGCACACGATGGCGCCCAGGTCTCGGGCACGCAACAGTGAGTCGGCCTGCCTGAACAGCTCGAACTGGCGCTCCAGAGGTTGCCGCTTGTCTGACGACACGCCGTCGCGCAGCGCCGACTCGTGCTCCAGGTACTCGGCCCGCACCCTCAAGCGGATGTCTGACAGCGGGAGATGATGATGATGATGGTGGTGGTGATTTTTGGGGGGATCCGGTGGAGGGAAGTGTGGGGTGGGGGTGACGGGAAGAGAAACAGGGACAGCAGTCAGAAACATCAAAGCGATGGTGATTTTACACTGCACTGTACCAGCTTGGCCCTGCTCAGCTTGAATCGCTTTTCTCACTTTGCACATGGCATCCGTCTAGACGGATATCCAAGGATATTATTAGAGATATCGAAAACTAAAACTAAAAAAAAAAAAATTATTAAAATAAAAGTGAGTGTCTGGAAAAAAAAAAATCTGAACTGCGATTACATTCTAAAACTAAAACAAAAGGACATTTTTTGCTGTGATTATAGACTGCTAATTTTGTCGGTGAGCTCTCATGGTTTATTTCGGTCTTACTGTATGAAGGAACAGAAGAAACAAGGGCATTTTCAAAAGTATGGGAATTGTAGCTGAGCTTATATATGCTTTTTGTGTCCAATTTTTTTTTTTTTTTTGCACAACACATATTCCATACATTAAAATATATACTAAACCCAATAAAAACTAACGAGCCTGCTCTTAAAAATTGAATGTAAAAACCAGTGTAGCCCTGGTCTCGAGATACAACTCGTCATCGATTAAGTTGTTGACCCCCCCCAATTCAATCGATAATTTGTTGAAAAAAAAATTAAAATCAATTCTTTCCATTCTTTTATTCAAAACATGATGACAGTGCAGAAAACGCAGAGTCATTTGGTTGGTATGGTGGTATAAAATGTAGTAAAAAGTAAGTACAAAGCAAATCTGCAAATGTCACATTGGCGCCCGCGCCTGGAGTGGTCTTTAAGACATTTGTCGGATGCACTAACCTCCAGGAAAATACATTTAAAAAAAAAAAAAAAAAAAAAAAAAAACTTATGTCATCCATATGAACCCCCCTCATCCTCTTGAGTGCGAGAAATTGTCCCTGGTTTTGAAAGTGGAAAAGCATCAATAATGAGAGCAGAGCCAAGTCGGTAGCACGCGGTGGAAACTGGATGCCTTTGTTGGGGAAAATCACACAACGCCAGTCACATCAAAAGGGAGCGAAGTGAAGAGCGCTTTCTCCAATAGGAGCTTGCGACCAAATAAGCGGAACACAAACTGGATTGGGAATGTGCACATTGTTGTTCTTTGATTGAGCTTTTGCTTAAAGCAGCACAAAAAAGTGCCCGACAACAACAACAACAAAAAAACAGTCAGGTAGAGCAAAGGAGCCTTTTTTGTGAACTGGGAAGGATAAATACTGCTGCCATGGAAGCGGTTGACTTGGGAGACGGTGTCAGCTGCGCACTCGGCAGTGGAAGCTTAGCAATGTGCGGCTCAGGAATTCGGTGTTTGGTGGTCATGCAACAGCACAGCGAGGAAGGATCAGAGGATACATACTGTGCTGAGCACGAGCGCCGCCGACAGACAGAGCGGTCCCCCGTGTCACTATTCCAGAAGTGCGCAGTGGAAAGCGGCCGCTTGATGACTTCGGCTGCAACAGAAACTCATCTGGGCCCCTCCAAAGCTCTCTTTAGTGAGGAACGACAATATCGATGGAACCTCTCATAATTATTAGAAATTAGGCCGTCCTCTACGCCTACAACAGTGAGGGAAAAACAAAACAAAACATTGCAACAGTTTTAGGGCTACAACTAAAGATTATTTAAATGAGAGCTTCATCTGTCGATTATTTTTTTTTTTTCAATCCAAATGGAATTGGATTAAAAAAAAAAAAACTTCTTAATTTCATATCTTTTTCCAAAACAAGACATTATTTCAAATTGCCAGTGTAGGAAATGCACTGGCAATTTTAGTCCGTTACGGGTTTTGGTCCATGTCATTAAAATCCGCCAAAACGTGGAGCGTTGTTTTCCAGAGAAAAGCAGGTGCAAATGTCTGATTTTGATGAAACACAAAGACAACAGGTCCGCATTCGAGGAAGGCAACAGAACCCTGAGAAGAGGTCTTCTGTCAAGAGGCTGCAATTCAGAGAATGTGGGCAAGTTTGAAGTCTCAAATCAACGTCTCTGAACCATGAATCGATTGGAAAGATTGCGCTCGCTTCACGGTTGAGCCCTTACAACACATATGTCAAAGTGCCGGCCCGCGGGCCACATCCGGCCCGCGAGAATGTTTTCAGTGGCCCCTGGGATGATAGTGATTTATTATTAGAACCGGCCCGCGGACCGCAGCAAGCCGAGAGCCCGCAGATCTTTTAAACGCACCAATACTACATTTCCCACAATGCAACGGTGACGCGCCAAGCAGTCGGCCGCTTTATTTAAATATTTATTAGTCTAGCAGTCGTTCCCATAACAGTGACATTAGCTTTCAGATACCCATCAAAAATGGCAAAACGGAAGGTGGAC